CGCCCCCCCCCCCCATTTTCAATCTAAAACTGCGATCTCGGTTTTTTTTCCGCAAAATGATTGTCGTATCACTCTTTTTCACATCTCCAAAACTGCCGTGATAGCGAAGAGAGCCGTAAGTGCAAAATTTTCGAAATCGAGTTTTCTTCAAAATTCGTCTAAACTCTTTAAGATGAAATTACTGAGACAGCTAAAACAGCAAAATTCATCCTAATTTAATGAAAACGAGACGTATGTAAAAGCCGTAAGTGCACAAAAAATGACGCAGTTTTTTTTCAAGACAGCCGTAGATGCATGAGAGCCAATGAGAACAGTGCTTTCCAGTAAAGTGCCGCCCTCTTCTGCCAATTTCTAACCTGAAAATGTGTTTGTTGTGCGTCCAAAGGGCAACCACGAAAGCATGCAGAAGATAGCACTTACGGCTGTCTTGCCTAACAATAACCTAGCATGAAAATGAAAAATACCCTTTTTATGTAATGGAAAAAAAATCAGTCGATTTTTAATCATCCATACGATTTCTAGGAGTCTTCCGGACGATTAGTGGCAATTTGACAAAGAACGGAAGCTTCTTTCAATAAAATGTTCTTGTCAGAAGCTTCTGAGCCCGTTTTCTCAAAACTTCATTTTTGCATTTACGGCTCTCTTCGCTATCACGGCAGAAAAGTTTTACCCGCATAACTTTGAAATTGAGGGAAATATAACAAAGCAAATATCGAAAAAACCACGATGAGTATATATATATATAAATATAAATAAATCACGAGTACTTTTCAACCTTTTTATTACATTTTGCAATCTTCACACTACATTTTACAAACCGACGTTTCGGAGACAAATTCTCTCCATCCTCAGGGCAGACGAGTTGTTCATAACTGAACGAGGAAAAACACGGAAACCCGGTCTAGTCACAGCAAGAGACCAGTTTAACGATAACAGGAGACATGACAAACATCAACACAAACAATAACAATAAGCCCCCGCCACTGAGAGGCAGTACTCATACATAATGAAAGTTTTCAACGATTAGAAAAATATTCCTCAAAGTGAGCAAACTCAGTCCCAGAATTTATGGCATTTTGGTTATTTAAAATACACAACCCCCCTAAATTCAACCTAAGTTGTTCATTCTTCTCTCTCTTCAACACCCTGGTGTTAATGAAGTCAAAGGAATGCCCCTTTTCTCTCATGTGTTGCTTCAGAGCAGTCACCTCATGTTGGTTAAACCTATGCCCATCCAGTCTTTTATGCAAATATTGGGATGACTGCCCTATATATACGCCCTGACAATCTCTACACGGTATCTCATACACTATTCCTGACAGCTTTTTGGTTGGAATTTTTGACTTCAAACAAGACAGGAAATTTTGTAAATTTGATTCATTAGAAGTAACCAGTGAATAGCCATGCGGTTGTGACACGGATCGAATCTTTTCTGAACAGGAGGACACGCACGGACATACAACAATTTCGGTTTTTTCGAAAAATTTTGGAGGGGGAAAGCCATTTTAGCAAAATTTCACTGTATTCTCAAATATAGAGTTGACAAGGTGCCTGGGATAACAATTTTCAAATAACAATTTTTTAGCTTCCCTTATTTTGTCCTTGCGAAGCATAGGATGAGAAAGCAGGCATATGCGTCTTCCTAAATTTTTAA